GGTTAAAAAAAAAAAAAAAAAAAAAAATACACATCATGCCACACACAAAAAATCATGCAATTAAAAAAAAAAAATCCATGGGATTTTGGGTTCTTTTGATTTGCCTCCTGCTTTGAGCCCTCAGGTTATACTCGCTAATATTTTCAAGCTTTTCTCTGCAGCCATGAGAGTTAGAAATATTGTAAATGAAAGGTGAGATTCTCATGCGCTCTTGATTCCAGCCATTGAGGCTTTTAAGAAATACTCCAAAACATGACAACACTCATGATGATAAAGTCACAACAGTTGGCAACACTGTCTTCTTTAATCTGCTTGCTTGAGGAGTAACAAACTGTTTGTTACTCATTCCCTCCCCTGAAGTCAATGTGCGAAGCTTAGAGTTTTGTGTTTCTCATATATTTGTGGAGCCATGTGTCTCCTTAACACTGCTATGGAGCAAGCATTTAGTTCAAATGCTTTAGTTTTTTGTTTTGATTTGGTGGCTCGACTTCTTATCATGGAGTTAGAATATTGAGCTCCGCTGTCTTATTTATTCAACATATCCTGCCATATACTTTATGGCCACTAGGTGTCTCGCTAGTTATAGTTCTGCCTACGAATTTGGTGTGGCATTTTTCCTTCTCCGTCGTGCAGTTTAAGATTCCAATCAAAGGGAAATCTAGTATGAGAAACAGTTTTAGAAATTCCTTCAGTTCGCGGCGTGCTGGCTGCCTTGGCCGGGCATGGCTTTAATACAAATATGTTTTTAAAAATTAGATTACTCTTTTTAGACCAGGTCACTACCCAGCCTTGAACAGCTCTATGAAAACATATCCAGAGCCATGTTAGCTGGAACTGAGTTTCACTTCCTAACAAGGGCAAAATTAACATGGATAGAACCTTTAGTCTGTGCCCTGATTTGTGGTGTTTCTCTCTCTCGGTACCAGTGTCCTCCTCTAATTCAAAGCAGATTAAAGAAGACAGGATTGATGTCTGTCCCTTTCAAGTGGGGATTACAGTTTAGGACAAAATGCCCATCTCTACAGAACCCTTCCCTTTTGTCCCCTCTAACCCTTTCCTTTCGGTACATCAGGGTTGGTTTGCTCATTTGACTTGGCATCACCTCTTTGCTAAACTTGTCCTGTAGTTCTCGCTCCATCCCAAAGAGCAATAGCTATGTTCTTGGGCACAACAGGATTGCACATAAATGCCGTGCTTTAGCTTTGGGCATTTAGTTATTTATTTTGCGGGCCCAAAGACAGGGAGAGAAGCAGTGAAGGAGCAAGGAATTTTTCTTTGAATACTATCAGAGGGGTAGCCGTGTTAGTCTGAATCTGTAAAAAGCAACAGAGGGTCCTGTGGCACCTTTGAGACTAACAGAAGTATTTGGAGCCTGAGCTTTCCTGGGTGAGCACCTCCCCTCTTTTTTTTGAACTAATAGAAAACTCCCAAG